TTTTGAATGTCGATTCGTATCCCAGTGTATTGCATTGTTTCCTTATCATACCATATCGAACCAGAGGATGAAGCTTTCGTAACTACTGATTTTTTTTTTTCTTTCAAAAGCTTCCTCTGAACTTTACTCTCTGAATTTTCTCCCTTTTACAGAGTTGTCTCTGTCTTGATTATTTTGATTGTGCTGTACAAAAACTACCAGACTTTTTCTGCTAGTTTTTGTAATTTGCAAGTGTTTGTAATTTTTTTATACAAAAATTACTTCTTGTGGCTCTAATGTGCTTTAACATATGTTTTGTTGCCCCTTAAAATAATTGTCTGTTACTGATACGTAACTATAAAAATATGGTAAAAATTTTAATAAAAAGTATAAAAAAAACTAAGTGTCAACAATACTTAATGGAAAGAAATAATAATAATAAAATAATTATCAAATACTATTTTAATAGATTTCAAGTTATACAGAATTTCATAATCGCTATGCTTATGTAATGTGTAATGTTGTGTGGATGGTTATTTCATGGAACGATACTCGTAAAATTATATTTACTTCATCAACTTAATTATATTTTTTAGGAATTACATGTCGATGATGATGTCATAAATAAATCAATGTGAAACTTTGTAAATATTAAATAAATGAATCTAATAGATAGTCGATTAGAGACATAAATATTGTGGGGGGGGGGGCATTTTCTTGTCTTTGTCTGTCATTTTCTAAAAAAAAGAATATTTTTTGTTTTGAAAATTTGATATTGGCTGAAATTATTTGTATCACTCTAAAATCTAAATAGTGTACATATACCGTATTTACTCGAATCTAAGACGCACCCCTAATTCTCAACAAGTTTTTATGAAAAATGATGTAAAATCTATTATCGATATCCAATTTTACAAATCTAAAATAAATATAAAGTGTTAACTAATAAGAAGTGAATAATTAGTAATTTTACTAATTATAAACTTTTAAATACATACATGCACCTGTAATTGCTCTAATTGCCCCGTCTAACAAGTATTTTTTACCTTCGATTCTGTAGCCGCACTCGATTTTTAGTAGCATTAATATTGAGAAGAAAAAAAAGCGTGGCTTATATAGATTCGAGTAAATACGGTATATACACTTGTTTAGTTTATCATTCATTAAATGCTTTTATTCTTTCTCTTTAAAACAATAAAGCGAATTGTTAACTCCTTTTTTATAAATTAATGAAAGTAAATTAAGCTTAATTGAATGAGAAATCACTATCGTTTCCACATGCTTCACAAATAGCTCGATCAATGTAGAATAATTTTTAAGACAGTTGTTTTTTACCTTCTTATCCTACCCAAATAGAATTTTTTTTTTTAAATTATTGATATAGGTTGAGAAATGCTTGATTTAAAAAATTTCTTTCCCTGGCTTGAAAATAATACATCAGATCATTGATGAATAAAAATATAAACCATGTTACTGTAACTTTTGTGAATTTTCTTTAAATTTTCCAATAAAATGAAAACACGCTTCCTCTACTATTTAATTGCGCTTGTAACTTCCCAGACATCTAACTAAACTTTTCTTTTTATTGCATCTAGATGAATTTTCCATTTTCCTGAAACTAGTTTTTATCCGTGTCTGTATTCCGAAGGTATTTTGTGCTTTGAATGCAATTTCATTTTTTTAACATAATTCTTTCGAAGTATTAAAACAAAAGCTTTAATATGTGTTTCAAGCGTTGTTCATTTTTTTAAAGATAAGAATCCAATAAAATGCACATGGCTGAAAATAAAATTACCAAAGAGATATATGAGAACTTTAGTGGCTTCTCGTCCTAGATTTACCCCCAAACATCAATCCTACGGCTTCCACCTTCTCCTTTGATGTTGAAATTTTTATTTTTAACGTGTTTTTTGTATTTAAATGAAATATACCCTAGGCGGCTCTTTTATGGGAATATGGTCGCAATTTTAAACCTCAAAAAAAAAAAAAAAACTCCTTTGGGTTGAAAGAGATTCTTTTGTTTGTTGCCGCCTGAAACTTCTGTACATTATTTCGCAATTCAAGTGTTTTTTTCCCACTTCCTTCAAGGTCAGATTTTTTTTGTTTTCCTATATTGCTTCATGGTTTCGTTTTCAGGAAACTCTTTGACACCGCCTTTTTGAAGAAGGGAGGGGATGCAATTCTTGGGGCTTTATTGTAGTTACATAATTAGAAAATCCAATTTTTATCTGTTCTCTGACAGTTCTGTTTCATACGTGACATATATACATATACCGTGACATATTCAGTTTTATGAATCAGTTTCAGAATAAAATAGGATCATATTCGCGTATAATGGATGTTCATGAATTTCTTTTTGGAGCAAATATTGTGCAAAATAATAAATTTTGGTATTTTCGTGTAAATTTAAGTTTTTGTTCTTTCATCCTACACATAAAGCGATTTAAATCAGTATCTTAATGTATTTTTAAAAGTTTGATCGTGAATCAAAAATTTAATTTAAATTGACCATGTGCAATTTGTGCGAATCCTCCTGATATAATAATTCTTTGAGGAAAATTTCGTAGTTTATTTATGTACAATTAGTCCCTAAAGTCAAGATACAGCCTCGGAAATTGCTCTTTTTCAATTTCCTACTATTAATTCACTCTCTCCCTATATATCTAATATATAAAATTCTCGTGTCACAGTGTTTGTAGCCAAACTCCTCCGAGACGACTAGACCAAATCTCATGAAATTTTGTGCGTACATTCAGTAGGTCTGGGAATAGGACGTAAACTATTTTTCATTCCGATATTGCAATTAGTTAAAAATATACTAATTAAAAACCTTAATACGCCTAATTGTCTTCAGCCTGCGTGTTGTTTTTCCAGCCTAGCGTCTTGAATGAACAGAGGGTGAAATTTTTCGGTACTCTCCACGTTATTTAAACAGCCATCCGAATTTTGTGTTTTAAATCAGACAAAAAATAATTACTGAATCGGAAATATCACTTCTTTCGCCACGATACGGTATAATTATTTTTGCAGAATAATGATATTTTCTATTTTTAAAATTTTTTTTAAAAATGAGTTAAAATTGATGCGTTTTTATGAAAAAAAAAATTTTTAAATCGTTGCGTATGAATTTATTTTCGTGTTATTAAAACGATATTTTTTACTAAATAATTTCATGCTTTTTTCTTTTTGAATCAGTCATTTAAAAAATAAAATACCGAAAACCTTTTTTTCTACGATTTTTTTAAAAAATACTCAAAATTTGAACTTAACATTAAATAACTTCGTCATTTATTAAAATTATCGTACAAAACTTTTTTTACGTTTGTAGAATAATGTTGTCCAATTTCTGTGCGAAGATTGAAAAAATTACTTAAAAATTACGGATTTTAAAAAAAAAATTGATTTTCGTAAAATACCGTTTTTGCGAGAAATAATATCAAGTCTTTTTTGTACATTTTTTATTTGAAAGTAATTTGTTTTTGCAATTAATGTCTGAAATTTCAAAACTTTAACGTGAAAGTTAAGCCCTTAAAAAAAAAAATGAAAACTTTAAAAAAAATTCTCAATTGCGTCAAGGTCACTTTGCGTTAGCTTTCTGTTTGGAAGACTGGAAAGGTTGAAGTAGTTTTGAGTCTTTCGCTGCGTGGTAAAAAGGGAAATTCCCTCATAACATTGCTATTTGGGGCGGGACGTTCATTCATATAACGCATCATAACCGATGGTTTTTTTTTATTCTTAAAGATTGATTTATTTTAGAACAGGGGAATATAAGTAAAATATATCATAAGAAAATGTAAGGAAATATTCTTAAATATATTTTTATCACATAGTATTATTTTCTTTTTGACTTTTATACTGTGAAATGAATCAATATCGTTGCGTTTGAATAAAAATGATTTTTTAAAACTTTTAGAATCAGTGATTTAAAAAATAAAAGGCCAAAAAATTTTTGAACAAATTTTAATAAGACACTCAAAATACTTAAAAATTAATAATTTCTTCTTTTATAAAGATAATTGCATGAAATTTTTTTCCCGGGTGTCGAACTAAAAAATCCTCACAATTTTACTTCAAGATTTAAAATAGCAGTAAAATTTTGTAATTTGAAAAAATTCTACTTTTCTGTCTTTTTTCAACATACAACTATTTTTTAAAAAGGCTACATTTTCGTTCCTAGGACTAAAAAATTGCAATGAAACAATTGAAAAGTGAGTAATTTATAAATTCTCACTGTTCACCTATTCGAGGGTTTTTGGTGACGGACCTCGAAATTTTCAACCATGGTCAAGTGACGAGGACGACACCTGAGCTTTCACCCATCTCTCCTAATTACCACACCACACTAACGGGAGGACAAATTTTGAAAAAGGGGGTTTTTAATGACATAGTTAACGAAATCACTCACATCGCGCTTACACACACATAAGTGCTATCGTCCTGAGGGAAACAGGAAATTCCCATGGGGATTATAAGTTATTCACTCTGTAAAAACCCGTGCAACGCCGGGCTAAGCGGAGAGGAAAGAAACAAAGAAGTAAAAGTAATTTCGAAAAATAATATTAGAAGTGCTGATTTTGTGAAGTGAAAGGAAAATGTTAAACGAGAAAGCCATGATACGCACTCACAGGGCCATGCACTCGCATCCTACGCGTCACAACCACACAAAAGTGCTGGCGTCGGAAAGAAAGTAGGAAATTAACATGGGGATTAAGTTATACCCTCGGTAAAAGCCCGTGCAACGCCGGGTCGGGTCAGCTAGTATATATATATATATAGTATGTGTGTGTATAATTATTTATTTATTTATATATCTTGTTCAAATTTTCAATCTGTAATGAAATGCTTCCTATTCATCCATTCAAGTTCAAATACAATTTTTTTTTAACTAATAGTGGCTAACATTTAATGTTTTTACAGTTTTTTCAAATATTAATTCATTAATTAAATTAAAAAATGAATAAATAGTAACAAACAAAAATAATTGTCCAACAGTATATATAGAAAGAATAAACTTTCCTTGTGTCCTTGTAGCGCAATGGATAGCGCGTTGGACTTCTAATCCAAAAGTCTTGTGTTCAAATCCACCTGGGATGCGAATGTGGTTTCTTTTTTACCATACTATTTTATTAGAATAATTAAATTTAATTAATGAATAAATAGTAACAAACAAACAAAAAATATTCCAACACCGCATATAGAAAGGAAAATGGAAAACTGCAAGGAAAATCGCTTTCTATTTTGTCACTTAATATTAGGATTCTGTCATATGTATATACATATTTATATTAATTGTAACTATTTAATAAAAATTAACTAAATTAACATTTTTTCTTTTTTGACCTAAGTAGGAATTGACTTTAAAAAAAAAATTATACTACTTTTTTTAAAAAATATTTTTAAGAATTTAAAAACATCGACTTGATGGGTTAGAGATATCACCGCTTCGTAAGCCTAAGGTTTCGGGTTCGATCCCAACTGGAAGTCTGAGCCTAGTACCGCTGAAGACCCGTCATGTAGGGGACCGATGCACGTTAAATGTGTCGAGAGCTCAAGCGTCCTTCCGTTGTTGTAATATGGTAGTTAGAAGAGGGAGTGTCAGCTCACAGGTGTCGTTCTCTTCACTTGACCTTGGTTCAAAATGACGAGATCCGTCACCAAAAACCTTCGAGTAGCTGAACAGTGGGACGTTAATATTCACTCACTCGATCCTACCTTGAGTCGATAGATTTTCTGGAAGCGAAAATCGTAGGTCACGCATGTCATATGATTATGTGGCATATAAAAGTTCCCTTGAGCATCATTTTGGCTTTGGTACTCTCGGCAAATCGTGGTAATATTTAGCATCCGACGAGAGCTTGAATTAAATTAATTCGAGCGTCCGAATTTGGTCGCGAGAGCCGTCACTAGATGGTGCCATCACTGAAATGGATCTCTTATTTGTGTACTTGTCGTGTCTGCAAAGGTTTAGTTACTAATATGCAGCCAATTCGAAAAGAAAAAAAAGTAGTTGAAATATAAATTGCTTTTGCACACATTTATGTAAAAAAATGCATCTCAAACTGGTAAAAAATCTAATAATTTAAGGAGAATTATTTAACAGAAATTTGCATTTACATGAAGGAAAATGAGGGGGGGGGGATAGTTTAATTTATGCAATTAAAAATTTATTTTCGTATAACCTAACCTTATAATTTTCTAGGCATTGGTGCAATAACATTTTGTGTGGTATCTGGCGAGATTTCAGACCATGCTTGCTGCAATGCATTTTTAAGGTTTTTTTTTTTCTTTCGGACACTACCTTTTGTAACTCTTCTGTCAAGTTTATTCCTTACTTGTTTAATGGTATTTAAATTTGGCGGCTGAGAATGAGTTTAAACTTCTACAGATATTTTGTGAAGAAACTTTTTTTAAAAAATCTCTGCTGTGTCTTTAGTTTCGTTTTCAATCTGAAAGATCCACTGATTTCCAAACTGTAAGCTAGCAACAGTTGTCTACTAGTTATTTTGTAATATATTCAGGTATTTAAAATGGTTCATCGTATTTTCAAGGAAGGTTAATTTCTCGATACCAGTAGTCAATATTAATTTCCAAACCATGACTTCTTCTATACTACACTTCACTGTGGGAGCGACATTTATGGGTTTCAATTCTGCGCGTTTGTGCGCCGTCATATTTTACCATATGTATCTCTTCCTAAAGTATTGTTTGTTTTTCCATGGAAAGGATAGTTTTCCAAAAAAATAAATTCTTATGGGTACTACGAAGTTCAGCCTTTCCCTTCAATTTATTCTGAACTCGAGTAATTTTCTTCTCGGAACTCTGCCATGAAATTCTTCAGGTAAGGAGATCGTTCAAAGTGCCTCCACATTGACACTTTTGTTAGTTGTCTGAGCAACATATTCCGTTAATTGAAGAATGGATAGTTTCGGATTTAACATCTTTTCCTCATCACTGCTCGAGCATCTCGATCATTCAAAATTCTTGGTCATCCGCTGCGAAGTTGGTTAAAAATATGTCCAGTTGTTTCGCAATTCCTTATAATAGTTTGGACAATGAACCACCTTCTCTTAGTGTGAGATTTTTATTTCTTCTTAACTTAATTATCAAATTTCTAACGTCAACACAATCCCCCCCCCCTTTTTCGAGCCATTTTAACTGGAACAGTAACAACGGAAATTACTTAACGCATACTCTAGCTTCACTTTTCCATAATGATGTGCCGGGCTGTTTCATTCCTGCTCAAATGATAGTGAAATTGTGTAACTTTTTCTAAAAGCACCTTTTGTATATAAATTTTTGTGATGTGAATTTTACAATTTTTTCAAAAAGTATTAGGGCTACTCTGAAATTTTTGAGATACTCCTAGGTTTTAAAGTTATACTTACAAAGTTTTAGGAGTGTCCAAAGTACTCTCCTCCAGCATCATGCACTTTTGTAGACGAATTTTGCAGATTAAATGCCTCAAACCATCCATTTCTTGGAATTGATGAAAAAATGCATTTATAGCAACATCAATCTCTCCTTCTGAATGAAAAAGATGTCCACGTAAGTTCTTTTTTAGATTAAAGAATAACCAATAGTTACACATAGCTAGATCCGGAGAATAAGGTGGATGTTCTATTTATTTATTTTTTTGATTTAAGAAACTCAACTGTTAATCCGGCTGTATTGGAAGATGCATTGTGATGGTGGAGCCATAGACCCCTAACATTAACTTCTTGGAGAATTTCTTGAAGACATTTAGTGGTATACCAGTTTGCCGTTACTGTCTTCTGTCTTTCCAACTTGATGGCTTTGACCAATCCCGTACTTCTGAAGAAAATGGCATACATAACTTTTTTCATTGCTCTTTGTCTTTTCACCATTGTCGGCTTGGGATCATCTTCAAAAACCCATACTTTGCTTTCTTGACGTGTTGGAACTTCAAAATACGGTATGTACGTTTCATCACCCGTTACAATTTCAAAAATGATGCAGTGGCCACCATCATTTTGCAATTTGAAGGTTTCTTTGCTGATTGTGACACTCTCCTCTTTTTGGTGCTCAGTCAGATTATGGCGAATCCAACGGCAAATTTCTTTTTTCATGAATAATTTTGTGTATGGCTGCAGATCCAATGTTAAGTTCCTTCTGTGTAATTTAGTAGGTACAGTGATTATTATCCATTAACACTTTTCGTATGGTGGGCACATTAAACCTGGATTACTGCCGACCGCAGCCTTTCTGTGTGTTCTTCATCCTGAAGAGAATTGAGACCACTGCAAAATTCTTGAAACCATCTGAATACAGTTGCATGACATGGAGATTCATCACCAAATGCTAATTGCAGCAGTTCAAAGCATTCCTTTTGATTTGATCCAGCTTTAAAATCAGAGAAAATCCTAGCACGATAATGTTCTTGCATCAACTCCATTTTCTCTTCTGTCTAAAATTTATTTTACGCTAAACAACTTGAAGAAAGCCAGGAAAAAGTCGTCTGGTGTGTTAAAATACTTTGTATTTTCAAATTAAATCGTTTTTTTTTTTTTTTTTTTTTTTTTTTTTTTTTTTTTTTTTTTGTCTGCTTGTATCTCAAATTTCAGAGTGACCCTCGTATTCCAGTGAAGTAATTTAGTTTTTGCTATAACCTGCTTGACTTTCAAAATTTAACGTTTACAATACATTTAATTTTTTAAATATGCATAATTTCTTAAATCTTGTTATTTTAATGGGAATATGTTAACTTTTGTGACTATGTATATATTTTTCAGTTATTTTGTCGATGAACTGAAAATTTGATGTTAATCAATTTGTGAAGGAAAAAATTTGATAAAGTTGGCATGCCAGGGTTTAGACTGTTTGGCGTAAAACTTGTACAATATGGAATTATAACGTGACTTAACAATTATACGTGACATAAATTTAAAGACTATAAAATGCTTAACGTAATTTAGTTGTCAAGAGTGAAATTACCTGGAATTTCTTCTTCTATGTTAGAAACACTACAGGTTATTTTTAATTAAATCATTTCGTCTTATTTTAATAAAGTCGTTTCTTTCCGGTTTCACGAAACGTGAAGGTGAACAAATTTACTCGAAACTTACTCCAGTGAACTTGGCATCATAATGTTCATTTGGGGTATTTCTCTCGTAATGAAGTAATTATAGTTTTTATGATTCACAATTCAAGTGTGAGTCATGCGTCGTTCGAGTGACATGAATATTCGTTCCAAGGTTCACAAATTTCCCGCTTTTTTCTCTGCCAATAGTTTCTCGCTCCACTTCTCCTGCGATTGTAGATGGTTAATTCTCCTGGCTGAAGTTTCCAAGTTAATTAGCCTCTAAGGTTTCGGCTCTGATTCACTCGTTAACATTACATATTGTTTTGTAAGCCCAATTTTGATATTCTGGTTACTGTTTGGGTCTCGATTGTGTATGATTTGACTATCTTCGAGAGGTCATGTTTGTCGTGCTGTTTTTGGACACTGGCCGGTTTTCTTTTTTGACCTCCTGCCTCTGTATCAGATTATAGAAAATGTTGAAATCGTGCGGGGGATGTAAAATAGAAATTAAATAATTAATCTTGTTTGCGTAGAATATAGAAACGGGGAAAAGGGTGATATGTATGAAGCGCAGGTGTTTTTAACTTAATGTTTTTGCTACTGAAATGTTTCCTGTTCTTTTTGCTGGTAGTGGTTATGTTTGTAAATATGCCTTTGTTTTTAATGGGACTCTATTTGCCAAATGAAAAGTTGACTGAGTTCATAATTAGCCTTTAAATTCTTGTTTACACACATGGTCATGGATAAATATATATTTTTGTTGTACAAATGGGGAAAAGTAAATGTAGAAATTCTTGCAGTGTATTTTTCCCTCCCAAATGAAATATATATGTAGATTATAGTTGAGAACCCAACAAACCAAACTTTTGTTTAAAAGAAGGTGAGAGGGGGGAAGGGAGAAATTTTTCCGAAACTATTCGACTAATAGTAGATAAAAGAGATGTTTATTTATAAGAGTACAATTAAATAAATATCATTAATTACATTGCATAACAGATTGCACGTTACAGAATTAAAAAAGTTGAGTTATATTTATTTCCATTATTGTAAAAC